TTTTTCGGAATCAATGTTTGGCCATGAGAATTTCAAATTTCACTTGAAGTTAACTTTCGAGAATTTGAAAAACTCCAAATAACTTTTTTTCAAGATTTTCATTTCAAATCGTTCACACAAATTTCAAAAAAGCTCCAAATTATATTCATGTCTCAAATACAACTCTAATTTCCAAATAACACTCTCACTTAATTTTATTTTACTTTTTTCCGGAATTTTACAGTTCATATGTCGAAACGCCCACCAAAATGAGATGTGTTACTTATCTCAATCACATTATTTCCCTCTTTGGCTACGCTAGTAGGAATTGATGTTTTATGATATCAACGAGAGATTTTTTTTTTATTTTTTTTTTCTCCTAAACATGGTATATTTTAGTAGGTATTTAGTTTTTACTAGGTGTGTTCAAACCGAATCGAAAAATCGCACCAAACCGATAAGTCAAAATAAATTGATTAAAAAACTCGATTAGGTTTGGTTTGATTTGGTTTGGTATTGAGTAAAAAAAATCCGAACCAAACCGACATATAAATATATAATTTTTTGTATATACTTTAAGACTTTATATAGAATTTTGTTTAAAAAATATCTAGAAATATTTAGGATTCTCTCATGAGATGTAATATTTAATAGAACTATGAAGTGCATTTATTTTTATTTACTTTAAATAATGGGTTATATCACTTTCTTATTAAGTGTTATTGAAATGCGTCAATCATCTCTTTGTTTTTTCATATTCATATGTCAAGATTTCTTATATCTTTTTTCGAATTTGAAGTGGTATTTCGATAATTTAAAATTACATAGAACATATCATTATTTAAGTCTTATATTAATTTTTATATTTAATTATTAAATTCGATTAACCTTGAAAGCGTATATCAACGAAAAATTTAATGTTAGACGACTAAGAAAATAAACTATAATGTGTTACTAAAGAAAATTCTCCCATATGGATACTTTAATAGATCATATATTTGTTAATGTTTTTTAATTTTTAGTAAACATATATTCATTTATCAAGACTTTACCTATAACTTTAATAAAGTAAAATTCAAATAATATTTATGTAATAAGAAAAATCCGAAAACCCGAAAAACTCGACAAAACCGAACCAATCCAAACCGATATAGTTAGTTGGTTTGGTTTTAATAAAATCCGAACCAACCCGATCCATGTACACCCCTAGCTTTGACCATGTCAAAAGCTCTGCAACTGATGATACTTCTCATATATGTACTTGACATTGAAGAATTTAAATTCAGTAAAACAAAAGATGAAGAATACATATCCAAGTTGCTATTAGCCTCACCTATAACATAAAGAATTGAGTTCCTCCCATATGAAACAAAAGATGAAGAAAATATTTTAAGTTTTCCAAGAATCTCTAAACTATAAATAGGGCTGATTTCTTCAGAAATTGAAGAAATCATGAGAATTGTATAGCAAGCAGAGTTGTGGACTTATAACAAGAGATAAATATAAGGAATTTTTACCTCATATAGCAAAGGTTGATACCTTATTTATTTTAAATAAATACCATATAAAAAATTATATTTCATAGCTACTTTTTGATTTTTATAGCCAAATATCTATTTATGGTCACCTCCTACCCTTAAGCCATAAAATACGCTTTGTATTATTTTTCTCTCTCATTCTTTAGCTTTTTCTCTACCATCTCTCTCAACGCCAGTTTTCTCCATGAATACAAACTCATGGATTCTCTCTCATCAGTTCCTCCGTCGATCGTTTTTCCTCCACGAAAGCTTCTCCGCCACCACCACCATCAGCGGCGAATCTCCGCTCTTTCTTCTCACGCCATGCCAAAGGGTTGCCATTGCTGTTGCCACATATAACCAAACAAATATTGTATGAAGAAAAGAGCTTTCAAACAAATCCTCTCGCTAGTGTAAAAGAGCTTTCATCAGAGATCTTTCAGAGTCAGTATTTCGATCTCACAACAGTGGCTATGGCTACTCAACGAAGGGAAAACCCTAGCTCTCTCCATCTAATTACTGTATTCTCTCTGCCTGTCGCTGTCGTCTCCGCTGAGGTCTTCTTCGAGGAGAGTTTCAACGGTAATTTTCTTCATTCTCTCTCTTTCAGGAAAACGCTGCAAAGCTGCAATTTGGTTGTTGTGTGGTCGTTTTGAATAAAGGTTAGATGTTGGAGAGGCCGGAATAGTATCACAGTAACGGGAACAATGATGTTTCGAGTCAGAATCGTGGCCTCTCGACGAGACGACATTAGGGTTGTTCTTGAACAAAGACGACGGAGTTTGGGGCTGAGCAACTTGAAGATTCTGTTACCTTTTTTTTCAATGTATCTCGCTGTATTTCCATGTATTTTGTCGTATTCATTGTCTTTTTTTTTCGTTGTATTTCAGCGTATTCCATGTATTTCATTGTATTCAATGTCTCGCTATATTCCATGAATGTATTTATATATTTTTCTTAATTAAAATAATTTATGTATTCAGATGTATTATATAATTTCTCTGAAGATTGCTATGTTTTTGGGGTGGTTTTCGGTTGAGAATCTTTTTTATAACTGGAAATACAAATTTGTGTGTTATAATTGAGTTTGTTGAGTTATATTAGGAGTCTATTATGTTAATTGATTCACTTTCCGTTTAAAAACAGTGTAATCCCATATTTCACGCCGTGAATACAGTCGAATATAATAATCTGTCCAGCTGTAATCCCATGTTTCACGCCATGAATACACTCGAATACAAAAATCTGTCTAGCTGTAATACCCTGTTTCACGCCTAAAAATGCTACTGTATTCATGAATACAGTAGCTTAAATACATCGAATACACTCTAAAAAATCTGAAAACATAGCTATAGGAAGTAATATAGTAAATGGTAGCAACAACTAGCTAATAACCACTAAAACATAGTGATTTCTGAAAGTTTCTCTAAATATAAAGGAAACAAAACTACCTTGGAAGGAATTTTTGCAAAGTAGCGCCACAGCCCATAAGTTTTTGGAGTTCCATATTGGTAGTTCCACGTCATTAGTGGGGATAAAATAAACCAATAAGCTAACGTTTGGCCATAAATTCCCAAATTTGTTTTGAAAAATCTAATTTGGGTGAAGTTTGATTTGAAAATAAAAATGTGTTTGGACAGCAGTTTTCAAAACATATTTCACCTTTTTTTTTTTTTTTTGCAAAAATATGAAACACAACTTATACCCACAAGTTCTAAAAACTATCACAAATACCCAACAGTACATTCATCAATAACATTAATTATATTATTGCAAACCATAGTCCTGAATATAAATAAATTTGGTGCATATATCATTTTTATAATGAACTACATAATACACTATCATATGACCGAGAAGACGAAGCAACATTATTACAAAATAATAAATGATGGGCTCTTTTATAAATTTAAAAAAGTTAATAGTAATATTTGTAAAAATTTGCACGGGGCGCCCTATTTGGTCGCCCCATTTAACCTATACCCATTTTTTTTAAAACTTTTAATTTGTACTCACTTTTTAAACAAGTTCAGCTACCTTTCTTCTCCGCTTCAGTACCTCACCAGAAGAAAGCAAGAACTGCTCTAGCTCTCTCCTCTGCTTTCTACCCACTAATCCAATCCCCCAAATGATACATGTATATATCCCTCTCTGACCTTAGAACAGTGCTAAATGAAAGATGGGGCATGGTGGAGTCACGGCAGGCGAAGTTTAAATGTTTAAGATCAAAATGATTTATTTTTGTTTATAGTAGTGAAGATGGTAAATATGATTCTGACTAAAGGAATAATTTAATCACTGTTGGCGATGATATGGCTAAAGATCAAGGAATTGATTGGGCAAAATCTGTAATTTCAGTTGTAGGGGTGCAATCAACTGGAAATATCCAAATGTTTACGGTCAATATAAAAAAACTTCAGCTCGTAATTTCAGTTGTAGGGGTGCAATCAACTGGAAATATCCAAATGTTTACGGTCAATATAAAAAAAACTTCAGCTCTAGAGCTGAAGTTAATATTAACAGGTGGTAAAAAAACTTCAGCTCTAGTATGTAATGTTAATAGGTGGTAGAAAAATTTCAGCTCTAGAGCTGAAGTTTCCCAGTTACAACACAAAAACTTCAGCTCTAGAGTTGAGCTTCAGGCCCGGCTACTAGAATGCTGAAGTTTTGCGTGATTGTCTTTGCTACTTCAGCCCCGTGTGCTGAAGTTATGCGAAAAAGCGGGTACGCTTGCAATTTTTTTTGCAAAGCGGGCACAAGTTAAAATGTGACATAAAAAGCGGGTATAGATGCAAATGCCCCGTAATATTTTGGGCCAAAATGGTTTTTGATTTTTGGGAATTTGCCAAAATATGAATAAAATTTACGAACAAACATATATGCCAAAAAAAACTCAAATAAATTTGGCAAAATCTATGGCCAAACGAGTAAGATTCTTTTCAATAAGATAAAATCTTTGTTAACTTTTTCGTAATACACCATGACCCCTTTATTTAAATTTTTCAAAATACCTCCAAGAAAGGAAACTAATTTTTTTCTCAAAGGGTAAAAAGGAAAAGTTACTCCCTCCGTCTTAAGTTGATAGTGTTTGATTAGGCACTTAGTTTAAAGACTTTGAACCTTGTAGTCCAGAATAAGCTATAAATATTTGTGTGCCTATAAATTATTTCATTAAAGATACCATGGGCATTTTAGAGTTAAAGTGTTATTAAATATAAAAATAAGTCTTTTTTTTTTTGACTGATTAAAAAAAAGAGCGTCACATATATTGAAATTGTTCGACACTAGCACTAGTAAGTAATATGACTTGAACATTTAAGTGTTTGATTCTATTCTCAACAAAGTTCCTTCCATCTCCACTATTCACGAGTTCAATGTATCATTACAAGGAGAGAATAAAGTTGCTGATACTTTGGCATAATTTAAAAAAAAAAAAAATTTATCAAACGACGATAACTAATACATCGGTGTGTTTATTCGGGCACAACACACCAGAGCTCATACTTTGGGAATAAAAAAGTAACTTGAGATGTTTTTCACTTAATATTTAGTAAAATCACATAGTACTAATTATACTTAATGTACGGGAAATGAGTAAAAACTCAAGGGGCTTATCTTATATACATTAGGATTAGTAATTTGATATCTCATGAATCACTAGAAAAGTGTACACACAAAATGATTAAAGAAACAAAGTCGATCTTGCTTCTTATTCCCGTATTTGATCTCTTCTATCTGCATTTAGCATTTTGGAGCTTCAAATATGCTCACACTTGACACACTTAAGTAGTTTATCAAGTGTTCAAAAAGTGGATCTGAAACATGAATCCTGCAACAAGTGCTAGTTTTATCCAATCCTAGTATTGTCTCTGCCAAAGACTAACGTTGTCGCCCAGTTCATAGCCACATATATCCTGTTCCTCCAGCTGATAACTCGAGTCAGATATGCAGAGCGCCAAATAAACCAGCTTACGAAGCCTGCTAATGAGATGCCTTTTTCATCCTGACAAACAAAATGAAGATGAGTCCAATATACAAGAAGCAAAGATAAACAAGCTCTTTCTTGATTGATATATATAAAGGCGAATCCAGGATTCATGTCAGTAACTTCAGAATGAGCGATATCTTGCAAGTACAAGTTAATTTTTTTTGGGGGGTGGGGGGGGGTGTGGGGGTGGGGGGGTGGGGGGGTGTGGCATGTGTAAACATAGTTCATGCAGAAAGTATAAAGGGTTCAGTTGACCCTATAGAATTCGCCGTAGATGCCTATGACTACCAGCAAATACACTTTAGGCTTGATCGAAGAGTAATAGAGATGATAAATGTACCTTAGATTGGCGGAGATCAACAAGGGCTTTGTAACGCCCCACAGATGCCATGCTTCCAAGATGCTTATAGACAAATGGATCTCCTAGAGAGATTTCTTTGGCAGCGAGAGCTTTGCCTCCATTCTGTTTCCCAATGTTGTTGAACAATCCAACAAGGTACTTCCCTTGCCTTTCAGCAACCTATAAAATATTATTGCATTCAGTAAAGTTTTATACTCCAAAGTCAAAGTTCAAGAAAACATAGTGCTTTACCAATATCACTTGATTCTTGCACCCATTTCATGTAAAATTAAGTAGCACCAAGATGGAAGAAACATGTAATTCACTATAGGAGAAAGGAATGAAGCAGGAAAAATGAAGGCAGATGCATAAGAATAATGTGCCTGGAGAAGTCAACGACGTATCAGGAAATTTACAGACCTGAGCAAGGGCCGGAAGCACCGGCTTTCCAGTGTGTTCAAGAAAACCAGCACAATCTCCCAGTGCAAACACATCTTCTACAGAAGGAACTCGCAACCATTCATCGACTCCAACCCTGTAACATGTCTTAAAATTAGCTGGTTGGATACACGAAAGGGAACCAAGTCGCAAGTTGTTAGAGAAATATTAAGATTCTTTACCTTCCACCAGGAGATTTAGGAACATTTAGTGATCTAACAAATTCAGAAGGACCAACTCCAGTAGACCAAACGAGAAGGCCATATGGGACATCACTTCCATCACTGAGAACTATTTTATGTGGATGTACTTCTTTTACAACACCTCGAACAAGGCGGACGCCAACCTGATAATAACGAAGTTTTGCAATCATTCACAATCCAACAAACACTGAAGTAACTTATTTCTTGACTCAAGGAAAGCAATTGAGTGATTCAATACCTTAGTCAAATGCTTTGTGGCATATTGTCGCAATCCAACATCAAATGAAGACAAGATCTCATTAGCCTGTCCAAGGAAAGGTGTTAGTAAACCATACTCAGCATAATGCCATGTCCTATCCGATTTAGATGACCCTACACAGCTGGATTCATATATTTACCTCAATGAGGGTTACGCGAATGTAGTTTTTGACATGAGCATAACGTTGACGTACATCTCTCATGATAAAATCACTTAGTTCCCCGCTGAATTCAACCCCTGTAGGGCCACCTCCAACAACAACACAGTGCAACAAGCGCTCTTTCTCTTCTTCTGAAATGCCTGTAATTTTACAAATGTACAAATTTATACTACATTTACTTCAAACTAGTCTGATTATGATAGCCGTGATAAGAATATGGAACATTGGGGGTATCACCTGGATTTTCTGAGAGCATCAAGTTCAAAAGAAGCTTCTTCCTGATTTCTTGGGCATGATATACTTCACGAAGGAAAAATGCATTTTCCCTTACCCCCTTTATGCCAAAGGTCAACGGATCAGCTCCAGATGCAATTACAAGCTTGTCATATGCAACTTTAAATCGATAAGGCTCATGAGGGACTCCTTCATCGCCAACAGTTTCACAGTACACCTGATAAAATATACAAAACAGTTATATTTTTCCATAATATCCGATTAGAGCAAATGGAGGAATTATATTATAAAACTGAGAGTTATATCATGGAAATGAAGAAAATAAGAGCTAGTGTTTCACTTCGTGTTTATCAGTGTCAACACCAGAGCAGGATGCTAGGAAGAAATATGAATTTGGATCCTTAGCCAATGCTTTCTGTATCTGACTAACTGGTTCAGCAACTGATCGAAATTCCAATGTTCCAACGCAAGTAGATGCAAGCAAAGGGGTAAAGACCATGTGATTTCTTGGTGATATACAAACCAAATCATATAACTTAGTGTCTATCCCTTTAAGGAACCTGCAAGCAGCCCAACCAGAGCCAAGAACAACAACTCTAGGCTTTTCGCCTGGTTTTGTTGCTTCAAGGCTAGGACACTTTAAGCTTTCATGCTCTGAATCAGAATCCTCAACCACTTGAGCTTGTGCATGTGAAAACTGATATTGAGGGGTAAACTTCACTCCTCTTTTCCCAAGACTTATTTCATTTATCCTCTGTATGCTTGGAATGTATGATGAATTGAAACCTGCTACAGCATTTTCAGAAATAGATGCGGGATGACTCAATGATGAAATGCCTTCACAGAATTTATTTCTTTCACTGGCATAGATTCCAACTGCACCTCCGGAGCGCCTTAAGCTACTCCTTGCAGCCCTCACCAATGCCATGTCCAGTGCACGACTTACCACAGCTGATATTCTTCGGTATGCAACCTTTAAGAATCACACTGGAAAAGGGAAGAAAGTATATGTGAGTTTTTTGAGCTCTCAATAGAAAGCTCCAAGATACTTATATAGAAGAAGACCCCAGAAGTGTGGAGAATTAAAGACTATGAACTTTGAAATTATGTGTATCAGTCAAGGGCATGACAAAAGCGAGACAAATATGATTCCTAGGATTACCAGAGCAGAAACAGACAGGACAACATTGGACTTGTTTCTGGTGGCAGTTTCAATGCGAAGAGTTGTCGTAAAATTCTTAGAAGGGATCCAGATATAAAACACCTGTATCTACAAATACAATATGCCATGATTCTTACTGACACTCACTAGAATCTCAATTCTCTAGAAACACATGGTTAGTAAGTGCCAAACTCTAAAATTGGTAGCATATTTTACAAGAATCTGGTCGCTTCTTCTTGCTTTAAGATAGAGAAAAGGACAAGAAAATGAAGGGTGCAACCAGACTTACTATGCCAATTTGAACTTCATTTTGTCAATAGCTTTGCTTATATTTACATGTAACAGATTGCATATGAATTCACCATTCCTAATCTGTGTTGTGAAATCCAAAACTTCTGTCACTTACAAAACTTCTGCCATTACAGGTTCTACAATTCCTTACAACAGACCTCAGAGTAAACTATTTGCTGACACAATGTTCCAAACTATCAGCAAAATCCCATTGGATTAAATTTCTGAATATTACATATACTTAATTTGAATTTGCAATGACAGAACATGTCTAGAAATGGAAGAAATGTAATCAATAAAAATGCAAGAAATCTATGAAGAAAGGTAGACAACATTAATCTCTCCTATGATACTAAGTCCAATCTTGTTTTCCATAAGATATATAGTTCTACATAACAATTAGGTTTCAGTTATTATACACAAACAAAGAAAAGCAATTTCAAGACAGAGATTGACAAAAATCAGACCGAAGAAAAGAATGGCAGCATCAGTAAAAAAAAAAAAAAAAAAAAAAAGAGAGAGAGATTGACAACGCCAGCCTATCAGGCTCTGCTACACATAAGTTAGCATTCAAAACTCTACCACCAAAACAGGACAAGAAAAATAAGGTGTATTTTTAATTATTCCCCCAAAAATTGGTGTTTAAGTGTTCCCCTCATTTTTGTTATTGCGGCTCTGTATTTAACATGATACAATCAAAATCCAGCATAAAGATACAGAGAAATGACTGAAAATCAGAAGAAGGAAAAAAAAAGATTACCTTTGGGAGTTCAATGATGAAGAAGAAAGCAAAGATTTGTTGAGCAGCTGTCCAGGATATCTGGAGTTTAACAGTAACAAAGAATTAAAGGAGCCACCCTTTTTATTCTATATTTTTATAAACAAAACCTTGAGCAGCAAGAAACTCTAGTTACAATTCTCACACCTCCACATGCAAAAAAAAAAAATTAATGTAAGAAGATGGGGTCTGAATGATCAGAAAAGCAAGTGTTTTGCTGCTATAAAATAATATTCTAATTCTGCTGCAAATGTATATGAAGGGTGTACTAGTTTCTAGTAATAATATAAAGCATGCTGGATATGCGGAAGGCAAAACGAAAGAGGCGGTTTCTTTGACTCGGCCATTTCGGTAACAATTTGGGAATATTCGGCCATCTCACGTCACTTCCACCAAACGACGCCGTTTGATTCCTTCTTTGTCTTAGGTCAAACAAGCAGCCGCTTTGCAGTTGCGAGTAGCAAATTACGCTTCTGGGCGACTTACTCTAGAAGAATACTATTAATTTTTTTAAGAAAAATTAAGATCTTAAAGTGTAACGTAAAAGAGGATATTAAGGGTAAAATCAAAAGTGAAGTTAAATTTATGTTTAAATATAAAAAGATATTAATTTTTAAAAAGACTAATAAGTAAATAATGCCAGATAAAGTGATGCATGTAAATACTGGCTCACTATATTTAAGGACCAATTATAGTGAGGACCTCTCCTATTAAAATATGCATATTATTAATTAATTGATTTAATTAGTGAGAATAAAATTAAACCCTTGAGAATGGAAATGTAAAATGTGCAAACTATTCTTCCCAAGGGATTCTAAATGCATATTTTATTTCTTATTTTTTTCTAGATCTAATTGAAAGGAAAAGTTCACGTTCAAACACCTATAAAAATCTGGCCTTAAGATTTTAGAATATTCCCAGGATCTTGAATAACTGGAAATGTGGAACACACCAAGGAAAGAAAAAAGTAGGAAACAATGTGTGAAGAATATAATAATGGTTATAAATAGAATTTTATTTATGGTGAATGTCTATATTTAGAGAGATTCTAGGGTTCATTACTTGGTGGCTAATTCACCCTCTCCCTATAAATAGAGGGTTCTATTTCATTGTAATTCATCCCAAAATCAATAAGAATTCTCTCTCTCAACTTTTCTCTGTAATACTCTTCTTCTTCTTTTATTGTTTCATAACACGTTATCAGCACGAGACTCTAACCAATTGAGTAGAAGCTTTGGGATTGAGCTTAATGATTGTCAATTATTCCATGAACTTCCTTCATGATTAAATTCTGGATTTAAGGTAAGTATTTTACCGTATTTTTCTCGTTTATTCTATACTTTGATTCTAAATACAAGCAAAGACAACAAAGTTTGATTATAACTCTAATGAAGTTAGTAAGAAATTATAACCACTCGAAGTGGTAAAATTTCTATATCTTGCCATGATTAAAGTCATGTATGATCGTGAGCACAAGAAGTGAAAACCCGTCCCATTGAATTTGCTTCATTCTCATTCCCTTAAGAGAATGTGATAGCAGTATGTGATAAGTCTGAAAGAAGATAAAATTATTACTATGAATGTATCAATGGATGTGGACGTGACAATAGACGAAATTATAATCGTCATTATTGTGAATGAGAATAATAAGGATTCTCAAAATAATCCTTCACTCTGTGAAAGTAATGTTTGTCATCGATTTGACATGAGATTTTGTAAAGCACATATAGATGATTATGGTCGATTCATGATATGAATGTGACAACATCTTATTTATGAATACATATTCATTATTCAAAGAATATGAACGTGCTAGTGGTAGTGAATATACCGCACTCACCTCTAAAAGGAGGTTTGAGATGATATAAGAAAATAATGTCATTATTATGGCATGAATGGTCATTGGTCACTTACCTATTGTACGCCAAAATATTTTGACATTGTGATTGTTAAACGACAACGGTAATGCAAGAAACAGATCTTTCATATAATTTTGACCATAACCATAATGGTATAACTTTCTCTTTAAAAGAGATATTCACCATATGGGTGTTGATGAATATGTGGTACTATAAAATTAATTGAGAACTCTGCAAGAGCCAATTATACTATTTTGGAGAAACACAATTGATTACCAATAAGGTATTGTATTGTAGTAAGTCTCAAAGAAACTTATTCAGTTTCCAAAGTACACGCGAAAGCGGTTGATTATATTGAGACTATAAATAAAGGAAAGATTTAATATCTTCTATTACTACAACTTGTAGCGGGGTAATATATATGTGAAAAGCTACCCGCTTTATTCTCCAATTTGTACTACATAAACAAAAGAATACCACAATGAAATGGGTATTTATTGATATAAAAACCCATATCATAATAAACTTGGAGTTTATTGATAATTGCACACGTCATGGCATAAATCTGAAGTTTATCAATATTGATAATTTATCCAGTTGGCATACTTGGTTTAGCCATGTTAATTCATGTATGATGTGCAAAAATAATAGAGAATTCACACGGGTAAATATTAAAGAACCAGAAAGTTCTTTACGAATTCTCTTATATTGCTTGTTCTCATTAATTAATAGATCAACTAAAATTGGGATTGAATCTCATGAATGCTGGAAATATCAAAGGTGAATATGGGCTCATTCACCTGCCATGTATACCACACCAAATGCATCTATGAGATGGTTACATGTGCGATTATTATTAACCCGTAACATGGTGTTTGTGAGGTAACTTGCTCAATAATTTAATTTAGAGCATATTCCAAATTTTCTATTCAGGAAGTTCATCTTAATAAGTTGGTCTACATCACAGCTGGTTTAGCAAAATGATTTATTGAGTGCCTCCACTTAATAACTAAACAATTGCTTATGAGAACAAAGTTTTATATATCAGTTTGATCGTTATATACGAAAGTATATTAATTTCTCCCCTCACAAGTGGTTCATGGTCAGGAACCAAATAATTCCATCTTATTATTATTGATGTGCGGTGTATATTTTGATTAACACCATAACGCACAAAGATGGGTTCTCAAAGTTGAGGAAACAAGTTAGTTTTTCTAACATGAGGGGGAGACATGATAAACAGTTGAGAAAAAGTTACGTGGAATGAATTATCACTTGTACATCTAGATCCTCGAATAAGATAATATGAACTTGAAGTTCATAAAAGGATAATTCAGTTGCAATATATTGCAAAGCATGCCAGACGCATTTGCTGACCCAAAGAAAGTAACTATATTCTCATTGAAAATGCTCCTATTAAGTCCTAGAAGGACAAAGTCTATGGTACGCTTGAAGCGTATAGACAAGTCGGTTTCTGATAAACTTCTTGATAAAGAAGATGAGCAAATGATCTAAATGATCATAATAAAGGAGGCAAGTGATCTAGAAGATCACATGACATAACACTTCATAAAATCACATGAGAGATTCAGGTACCTGAATATATGAATGAAGAGATCTCTATATTATGTCTTTATGAAAAATAAGGAGGTTGGAACCGATATAAAATGTTTGTCGACGACATCTATAATAGCGCTAAATATATATGAGGATCTTAAGTCTAGAGAAACAATTCAAATAGAATTGGTTTCATATGAAAGACATGTAGTTTTGAACATGTAGTTCAAACACTTGAAAGTATACGTCAATGGTATGTGCAATCAGTTTTCGATATCTTTTATGTCTAGCATGACATGAAAACTTGATATGCATCTAAAGTCTATTATATGGCTTATATGACATAACAATCCCTGAAGGATTTAAATTGCTTAAAGCATATAGAATTCATGGTCATGAAGTACTACATCCTCAATGCAATTTGTGCACAAATGTATCTTGTTATAACTATATGCATGATAATATGATAGCAAGAGTTTTCACCTCTATGTGAAGATATTGAACTGACGGTTCCAACAAGATCATATGAAGACAATTCATCTCTATCAAGAATGATGATTTCAAGGTGCAATATATTCATTCAAGTTAATATGGCTGATTTGTTTATCAAATATCTACCAAAGATCTTTTGAAGATGGTGCACAAGATTGGAATGCAAATGCTTAAGGATGTGAATTGATGCTCTCATCAGGGGGAGTTAATACGCGTTGTACTCTTTTTCCATTACAAGGTTTTGTCCCACTGGGTTTTCATTGCAAGGTTTTTAACGAGACAACCAAAAGGCGTATTGTTAGATATGTGTACTCTTTTTCCTTCTCTAGAATTTTTTTCCCACTGGGTTTTATTTTAGTTAAGGTTTTAACGAGACATATTATTTGTTGTATAGACATTCAAGGGGGAGTGTTATAAATAAATTTTATTTATGGTGAATGTCTATATTTAGAGAGATTCTAGGGTTCATTGCTTGGTGGCTAATTCACCCTCTCCCTATAAATAGAGGGTTCTATTTTATTGTAATTCATCCCCAAATCAATAAGAATTCTCTCTCTCTACTTTTCTCTGTAATACTCTTCTTCTTCTTTTTATTGTTTCATAACAATAATAAGAATTTAAGAATTATATACACTATCGATGATTTTTGTTGTTGTTGCTATTAGTGCATAATTTAACATGTAATAGTAACTTGATTATTATTTTTATATCAGATTACTAATTAATAAGCACTTAGCATGATATTTTACTTGAAATTATCGTATTTTTATTTTGAAATAATTTATATTGTACACAGAAGACCTTAAATCAAAGTAAGAATTCAAATATAGTCGGGTTCCAATGCGAGTACCGGACACCGGATGAGAAAAAAAAAAGCTCTGTAAAACTGTGACATGTGAAGTATGGACGTACGTTATTAGTTGTGGTTGGCGCTTTCGTGTCAAAGGGGTTTGTCACCAATTCGACACTCATAACATCTCTCGACGGTCCAAATGTTCCCTTTACCTTTAATTTACTTCATTCCCAAGATGTTAGGAGCCGACTTTTACCATATTTTTTCTTCTAGCTACTCCTTTCTTTGACTTGTATTTTCCCTTCTTTATGGCTAATGAAATGAAGTAATGACGTAAAAGAATATGGTCGAATTTGTTTCTTTTATATTCTTGCCATGACTTAATCCATGACAATTTCCTTATCATTTTCTTGTATCTTCAACTTGACGATTAGTTTGAAGAAAGTGCTAATCAAACATAATTGTTTGCGTTTCTTACCCTTCTTAAGTATTTCCAAAACCGGCTAAAATTATTACTTTGCAATACCTTTAGTCGAATGTTCTCGCTGATTGTGGCATACAAAAAAGGGAAAGGGGCTAAATTTATCCTTTTACTTTCGGAACGGTCTATATTTAACTTTCGTTATACTA